ACCTCATTCTTTTCGAGCTTGTTTATGAGTTATTTGCTACATCTCCATATTGATGACGAATAATGTCTTTGAATGGCATTTAACAATTGTGAGTACGATATATAGACACAGCCTTATGGAACAACAATCACTGGTTAAAGTTTTATGGAACGTTTCGACGTGTTTCCCCCAGGCACACAATGACAAGTAGTGATGGGCAAACTATATATACATTAATACTTAGATGTGTGAATTAGTTTACCCTCACTTTTTTCAAGCTTGTTTATGAGTTTATTTGCTACATCTCCAGATGACTTTATCTGATAACTGTTGAAAAGATAGCTTGCCAGGCAAGGTAATATACGCCCACTGGCAGCTTTGATTTTTGAATAAAAAATATTTAGCAGTACAGTAACCAGTATGAAATATTCAACCTACTGAAGGTTGAATATTTCACTTCTTCTGAACTCTTTAGAGCGATACTGAATGATATTGAGTATGATTTATTGCCGTTGTTCTTGAAAACGTGTTCAATTTTTAGCTCGTGAAATTATTAGAAGGCAAATATTCAATCTTCAGCGGGGTACTGAATAATAGAACCAAGTTTTGTCAAATCCAGCAAGAATCATGCCTTTTAGAGCTAAATTTGAAAGCGTTTTCAAGAACAAGGACAATAATTCATACTAAATATTTTTCAATTCTGATTTTCAATAGGGTTCATCCTTGGGTGATTATGAACATTCACACCAAGTATCGTCAATATCCGTAAAGAATTGTGCCTTCTAGAGTGTTTAAGAGTTAAAAATTGGATGCGTTTTCAAAAACAAGGGCAATAACTCATACTTAATATTTTTGATTCTTCTGATTTTCAATAGGGTTCATCCTTGGGTGATTACGAACACTCATACCAAGATTTGTCGAAATTCGTCAAGAATTGTGTCTTGTAGAGTGTATACGAGCAATTGTGGACGGACGGACCGTTGGACGGACGGACGGACATGGGTGACGGCAATATACTTTGTGTTCCATAGAAAATTTCTGCTGACACGGAATCCGCTAGTTGATCACGTGACTTCATTCGTTGGATTATATTCTAGAGACGACACTTGGAATTCCGATTACCGCTCGGGATTATAATGAAATTCGGCCGATAAAAAATGACGTTTGGTAATAAGTGAAATCCGCCATTTTGTACTTGTCAAAGTATACATTAATACATTTTACCTTTCTTGAAATTACTGGATTCATTCTACTAGCTGACATTGTACAGAAAACCCATTTTTATTAAAATAAACTAATGCGGAGGTCGCGCAAGGTCGCTCACGTAAATTATTAATCATTTCCGAAAATTCACGAATAATAGGTTTCCACGAAATTAGGTTACTTGACTGTATATTGTTTATGCTGGATACGTTTGATAGCCTTACCTCCACTGATTTTCAAAAAATTTAGGAATAAATTTTGTCGACTAAGCTATTATTCTATTTCGGGGAAGGGAGGGTTTGATTGAAACTATTTTTCGTTAAACAATTAAAATATCTAGGTGAAAATTTGTGAAAATAAAACATTAAAGTTTTAAAATCTAGAAAAAGGCTAGATTCGTTTGACGATTTAGCACTCAAAACACCAAATCATCTTATTTAAACTATCTCCAGTTTCAGTATTAATAGTTAGAGATGCCCACTAACCTGTAGGACATCTGGGAATAAACGCTACACTTTCTTACATACGATACGAAAGAACTATTGTAATTGCATTTAGTCTGTGATATCCAAATATATTGTAGGTACAAAACATGCTGCTAAAAATATCAGATCTACCGATCGAAAGTGTTATTTCAGGTGACGCCCCCTTTCAGCCGAACCGGTGTCGATTGTCATAGTCACATTTCCTTTGGACAATATTGAAAGCTTTACTCATGAACGTTCCTGCAGCCATTCAAAAAGATGTTTCTATTTTTATTGTCTCTCGACCTGCCTTTTGATTGCTTTGGTGTACCAGTGGATGTTCTGGTGAACAGAATTATATCAGCACAGCGAAAAAGTGCATGTACCTTCTTTGTCAATGAACAGTCTGTAATTCCGTGGTCGTAAGTCCATCCTGCAGATGCCACATCATAAACTGTTCAATGGTTTGATCAGATCTTCTGGGTAAGGTATCCTTTTCTTTTTGTTCTAAAGGTGATTTCTTAAGTTTCTAGTAGTTTTCAACAGTTGCCAATAGTTTCTAATGTCTCTAAGCATATATTAACAAGTAAAAATATGAAAGTAAATGTTTTACAGTGATATATAGAGTGGTAGGTGTCTATGACGATTAGTAAAAGTAATAATCACACATCTGCTTAGAAATATAGGGTTAACAAGGTTGGCCGGGGCATGAAACATAAGATTAGAATATGGTTGCCCCAACCCCCACCATCTCTCCGAGTTGAATGCTCGTTTAAGATTTCATCAGAAGTTTATAATTTGTTTGTTTATTGTTTTGTTTTTTGTTTGTGTGTGCTTCTGTGTGTATATTTAATGCATAAGAAATATGTATTTGAAAAAAGGTGTCTTTCTGATATATATCTTAAGGGGACATATGCGCCAATTTTTATCACCAATCGTACCTTAGTCACAGAAACAGGGATTATTTTAGCTAAGCTAATCAGTAATAGAGTTCACATCTCACCATCGAAATTTAAGCCTTAAAATCCAATTTCCGTGTTTGAAAGTTTAAATGACGACTCGTCAATTAGTAAAATTTTGTCATATATTGAAAATACATATATAGAAATAGAAAGTGAAACTCCTAGATAAAGGTATTTTTGAAGGAATTATGCTATTAAGTCTATTTCTAGTATTTATCAAAACTATGTATATTCATTTATTCAAG